TGTAAAACCATAGGAGGGTTAAACTTGCCGATGTTGCAACAGTAATCTCAATTCTCGCTCAACTGCTAGCTCATTCAAGCTTTGCAGTAATGCTGAAGCAAATTCATTCTTTTCTGCTGCAGTAAGCACATTTTTTCCGTGCTAACTGCTAAGCAGTGCTTTGAAATTGGGCCGAGGTAAATCCACTTCCCATTTGTGTGTGAGTGTTATTGCTTCAATTGCTTTCAAATTGAATAGCCTTGCTCCTGACAGGTGTGCCTAGCCTTCAACCCACAGAGCACCATATTAGCCACGGGTAGCATGGACACCACGGCCAAGCTTTGGGACATCGAGTCGGGGGAGGAGATATCAACGCTAGCTGTGAGTAGCTAGGTTGCAGTCTGGTGTTCAGCTTGATACAAGAACCTAGATACGCACGGAATGGCTGATACCAAGAGCGTTTTCCAATACTCAACTTCGGCTCCGTCTCAGGCTTCAACTGTTTTTTTAACTAGCTGACTTTGAAGCTGTAAGCGCAGTAATCAGTCTAATAGTGCCACAGAACATCAAATAAGATGTAAGAAAGCCAAAAATTACAGTAATCCAATGTAATTTAAACACTTCAGGCCCACGATCGGAGACGGCCCATGTGCTCTTGTCGCTCATGTGCACCAGACTAGTCTAGTTCCGAGGTCAGGTTTGCTTGACCTTAGCTGCTTTGAGCCATCTTGGTCTGGCTCCCGGAAGACATGCTATTGTTATGAGTGTTCACACTCTCCATTCCATGTTTTTTAAAAAGGGGTCTTTCTGTGGTATGTTTTACTGAATGATAAATAGTGCTTGCCAATAACGACAGTGTGAGTAAGAATCCAAAATGAAGAATAAAAATACCGAGGATATTGAAGACTGTTTTTATATATTTTCAAAACCACTCTGGAAATTCCCTGAAGCATTTCTGCCAATTTTCATCGCACGTTAAAAAATAATGTTTCGGTTCTTTTTCAGGGCCACTCTGCTGAAATCATTTCCCTGTCCTTCAATACAACGGGAGACAGAATCATCACAGGCTCCTTTGACCATACAGTGTCCGTATGGGATGTCCACTCCGGGAGGTGAGACCACTATACGTCGCATGTTGGCTTGTCTTTGTCGTCAGTTTTGCTTTATGGCATAATACAAGAAAAGAGCCATGCAGACAAGGACCATTCTATAAATTTGGGGTCCAATTTTTTTCGTGTCCCTGTCACATCTGACAAAGACCTTTGCAAGTTTGGAGCACACTCTCAAATTTGTAAGAGTGATTAAGTAATGCAAAATACCTGCCCAACAAATGAATACAGCTTCAAGTCAATTTCAGTAAGATTTCCACGGTAACTCCCACAGGTCACGTGCAACAGGGACACCAAAGATGTCACACTTTTGGACCCAAAATTTATAGAATGACCCACAATATGCCTTTCTGGCTAATGACCAAGTTTTGCTAAACAAAATGTTGCTCAACTAGTTTTGGTAGAGAACTAGTCAGCAGCAATTGACATAGGGCGTTCCAATGTGGCCGGTTACCAGGTTCTTTTTTGTTGAGCAGCAGTGGTCTGTGCTAACCAAGACGACTCCTCGAATCTGGCCCTGGGAGATCCTGTTCAATTGTTCCAGTGCCTTTAACCTTCCACACCTCTTTCAGACGTGTCCACACGCTGATTGGCCACCGGGGAGAGATCAGCTCGGCCCAGTTCAACTACGACTGCTCGCTGATCGTCACAGGCTCCATGGACAAGACCTGTAAGATCTGGGACTCCTGCAGCGGCAAGTGCGTGGGCACGTTGCGCGGCCATGAGGACGAGATTCTGGACGTCGTATTTGATTTCACCGGCCAGTACATTGCCTCTGCCTCAGCTGACGGTAAAAACCTCTATCATGGTTCAGCCATCTTGTTTTTTACCATTCAAAGCAATGTAACCAAAACGAGGCTGGTAGGAAAAATAGTCTGTTCCCTTTTTATCAGTACCCGAAGTTGTAATACTATTGCCAATTGAGTCGAAAGGGAACTAGACAAATGTTGCAGCATCTTGATAAAGGTCTAAGAAAGGCTGTTCGCCATTTTACTACCTCCGTTAAGCTCCAAAAGAAGAAACTATTTCTCATCACTATTGTTGTCAACAAAACAGGAATGCCTTAGCAAAAAAGTGTTACTTTCGATTAGACTTCAGAGTTTTTGTTAATTATTGGGTGATCACGTAGCTTCAATATCAGTTAACATTCAGTAGGGCTGCATGCTGGAACTTACTTCATCAAACTATTTTAAAATATCTCAAAAAATACATTTTGTATGTTTAAATCACTGCAGTGCAAGACACTGTCTTTTGACTGATAAAACATCATTCCTAGAGTAGAATCTCAGGAATGAACTAATTATTCCTCATGGAAATCTGTAGTGGCAGATACGAACAAACAAATTCATCGTTATTTCACTGCCGCAGGTCCAAATACGTGCTTGGGTAAGCCTCTGATGTTAAATGCGGAAGAGCGTTTTGGCACAGTTTTTAATCATTGTTTTGGTCATTGTTTTGATCTTTTCTGTCCCCTCTAGGCACTGCCAGAGTCTACAACGCTGTCTCTCACAACTGTGTCGCCAAACTGGAAGGGCACGATGGGGAGATCTCAAAGGTAATCAATGTGTACCCAACCCGAAGAGGGCGCTGTGTAGAGAAGAAACAGTTGCCAGTGCCTTCCGCTTTGCAGAGTGCCCCCATGGTGCTGGGTGGCAGCTAGCCGGACCAACCCCCAACTTTTCAAATCTCAGACAGTTGGCAAATGTCAAGAAAAAAACGGTTTGCGGGGGCAGTGTGTTTCGTTTGCTGTGTCTGTTGTTAGTTTCAAAGCCTTAAAATCTCGTCCATGTTCAGGGTAGCCCAGTGGTGCCACTGGCAAAAGTTATTTGTCATATGGAGCCCCAAAAATGACAGCTTTGGTGAGAGGGACCTGTAGATTTGACTAGCTGTCAGATTTTAATCCAAGGTTTTGCCCACTGCGAACTGTGCCACATTTAGAAAGCACTGTTATGAGTGTATGGACTTGACGTTCTTTTCGTTCGCCAGATCACGTTCAACCCGCAAGGCAGCAAGATCCTGACAGCCAGCTCAGACAAGACGGCGCGGCTGTGGGACCCCTTCACGGGCAAGTGCCTGCAGGTCCTGGAGGGCCACACTGATGAGATATTCAGCTGTGCCTTCAACTACGAGGGCAGCATCATCATTACAGGTGAGTGCAATTGGGGTGAAGCCCTGTCAGAATTACTCGGCTGTGGCTTAAAATAATGTACATGGCTATGGAAGCCATCAGCTGGTGGCTTTGTGCATTTCCTGTAGATGTGTGTAATCCCTGGCCGCAGCCAAGTAATTTGGAGCCTGTCTCAAGATTGACACCATAGTGCTAGCTAGTGCCATTTGCTGTGCATCAGTGCTCACCTGCATTCCTCTAACATGAAGATGCTACAGGCTTTGTGGGCTATCAGCTGAAAATTTTGTGCGCATTCTGTTCAAACTTGAAAATCTGAAGTAGTAGGACTCTAGGAATGATATTCTCTGTATTAAATTTGTAGTATTGACGAATCTTTGTTTTTTTCTCTTTTAGGGAGTAAAGACAACACCTGTCGTATCTGGCGATGAAGAGAAAAACTGGTCAACTTTTCTCGACAAGATCACCAAAGTTTGTTGAGCAGATTGGCAACTGCGCTACTATTCCCTGGCCGTATATGTACATTTTATGAATCCTTTAACGTACACTGATGTTCAATTTTTCTCCTGGTGGTTTTATTGGAAAAGAAAGCAACACTGAAAGAGAACAGGCCAAACTCTTGAGAATGCACTTGAATCTGCAGTTTTTCCCTTTTTTGCCGTCCTCTTTTTTGGCATCATTTGTTTTTGCCGTCAAGATTTGACATATGCAGTATTGTCGTCAACAAGCGGAGAATTCAAGAAGAAAAACTGGTGCTCAAGCAGTCATTTATGTACGACTGTATTCCTGTTGCCCTTAGCCCCTCTCCTTGTAAAGAGAGTTAGCCATGTAACATGGTTCTGAAATCCACCTTTCGCACAATATCTCTCTTGTAAATTGTTGGAACCAAATTTGCTGGCAATAACTTGATTTAATGCTGCCCGGAGTTTTAACGCGTCCTGTATTCTTTTTTGCTATTCGTAGGCACAAGTTTTGAAATGGTGCTCTGAACGGTTTCATTGAATGTCTCTGCCTATGAAGAGTAATGTTTAATCCCTAGTAGCAACCTGAAGTGAAATGATCACTCTCATTTTTGTGGAGGGCATCCTCTGCTGACTAGTGGTGGACCACACCAAACTGAACAGAAATTTCCTGCAAGGGAACACCCACGAAAACAAATCACACCATTTGCCTTATTGAGGAGGGAAACAAAAGGTAAGATAACTAGCCTCAGCGAAAAGTGAACAGTTTTCCTCCAAATTTGTGCAACCTGTCGAAATTTGGCGTTTTACCACATTTGAAGCTGCATCTGATTCCAAATCTCATGTCTAGACCGAGGCCGAGGTCTTTGCCCGTCAGAACTATGCAGGCTTGAGCTGACAAGAAATGTGTCTTGGGAAAACCTGTCCCAGAATATGGCCAAAGTTTCTGACTTCAAGCCTTTGTGTCATTGCCTTCTATCTAAGCAATATTAAATTTTCACTGATACTTTTGTAGCCTGTTTCTGTTACATGTGTTATTATATTTTGTTGTTAGCTTGGATTCCTGCCACTGGACGTTGAAGGGAGATTGATATCTCTTTTCTCCCCTTCCATGAGTAAGACGTCAGGGCACAATGAATGCCCTCCACATCACAGTTATTAACAGTGTATTAACAGAAGATGTGTTGTTGTTAGATGAACTGCGCTTTGAGAAATCTTGAGATTTATCAAGAAGCGGCATGGTGGTTCTAATCAAGTCTTTTGATTGTGTTTGCCATGTAGAAGACAGTGAAATTGTAATCCGGTGCTGAAAGTGCACTGAAAAGTCTCTCTTAATTCTAATCAAGTCTTTTGATTGTGTTTGCCATGTAGAAGAAATTGTAATCCGGTGCTGAAAGTGCACTGAAAAGTATCTCTTAATTAGTTTTTTTTTTCGAACAGTTTCTGATGCTTAACATTACTTCCTTGTCAACATATGCATTTCACATCTTGGTGTGACTTTCCTATCTCATCAATGTTGCGTAATTTACTACCAATAATGTGTGATATCCGGTGATTGGTGAAATACACCGGGCCACTGTGCTAGTGTTTACCACCAATTTCTTTGACATGAAAGGATTGCAAATGTTTCACTTTCCTGGGACAGCATGCCAGAGCATGGCCGTTTACTGCCCAGCCAGTGCAGGCTTCATTTATACTCTTGGTTGGTGTAAAGTGGCTTGCCTATGGACACAACATGTCCAGCAGATGGATTTGATACAACCCTCTAATCATAAATTTCTCAACCCTAAGCACCATTTCATAGTCCACTAGTCTTCCTTTGTGTTTGCCTTAAGCCTTAATACATGAAATACAGTACTGACGGAAATAATGGTTGGAACTTTGTTTATAAAGTGCTTGCACCGTTCAGCATAAGATACATGTACACAATCTCTTTGGCATGGCAAACATTTGCATATGACCTAGAAATACACTAAACAAGGTCAGCTCAATCACATGCTTTAGCAGACCACAAACTGTCCAACAGAAAGGACTACACAAGACCAACAGTCACTTGGTCCATTTTTTTTATTTCAACGTTTTATTCTTTAAATTCTGCCGCGTATTGGAACCGTCAGTGAATAAAATTTAGTACAGTCCGTCCTGTAGAGAGAATACCGATTAAGCTTTCATAATTTATTGTTTGATTTTTGTCTGTTTACGGTAATTATGCGACATAGCTTGCGTAGACTGTTTGAGTTTGTACTTTTTTTCTATCGTCGTGTGCTTGTCACGAGAGTACACTGATGCGTCTTTTCATTCAGTCAGACATTGCTGGAGTTTATAAATGTGATCTGTATGCTTGATTTGAGCGTTATTAAAAACCAAGTAAGTTGTGGAAATGATTAACTATGAAGGCTATGTCTCGTGAGTTCAGAGTCTGGAAGTTGAGTTGGTTTGAATGGAGCATTAATTAAAGAGTTGTATTACAAATTCGGGAGATAAGCGAGTGGTTTGAAAGATATTTGAGTGAATTTAGAAGTACATGTACAAGTAACAGCATAACTCACCAACTGGGGGTCACTAGTTGCGTAAACATTATACAATATTTTAAGAAATTGGAATTGCACTATTCATTAAGTCAACAGCAGAATACGTGTACTCATGAACTTTCAAATCATAATTCCTGAGGTAGGAATGATCACAACGGGCGAGTTGCGCGTTAGTGAATTGCATGGGGCAAATCACTAAAAGAAAGAAACATCGTCAATTGGGGTTTTGACTCCAGATTATCCAGAAGCTGTAATAAGGCTTCAAGAAAGGACAAGAATGTAAGTAATGGAAAAACGCAGGAAATTGTTGATACAAGAGTGATTTTTGCAGGTTAGGGATATGAAAAGTTTCCTTGAAAATATGCGTTGAACATTTGGGGAATTACATGTACTTCTATATATGTGTAGGAGGTCGTAAACTTATTAAGGAAGATTGTCGTATGCCACTTTCTTCACTCTCCTCCGTTGGACAATGTAAATGCACACCAGGAGCAGAACAGCGACAGCGGCAGTTGACCCCAGGACGATTCCGATAATCTTCCCCGTGTCATTCGGTTTAGCCTGGGTAAGGGGCGGGGTGGCAGTGGAATCGGTCGTTAAGGTCGTAGGTGCTGTCGTTTGGGTGGTCGTTGGTACCATGGTTGGCTTAGTAGTTGGTGGTGTAGTCGGTTTGGTTGTCGGTGCCGAGGTTGGTTTGGCTGTTGGTGCCGTGGTTGGCTTGGTAGTTGGCGCCGTGGTTGGTTCGGTAGTTGGTGCTGTGGTTTGTTTGGTAGTTGGTGCCGTGGTTGGTTTGGTAGTTGGTGCCGTGGTTGGTTTGGAAGTCGGTGCCGTGGTTGGCTTGGTCGTCGGTGCCGTGGTTGGTTTGGTTGTCAGTGCCGTGGTTGGCTTGGTAGTT